TTTTTTTTCACAAAGAATAAATAATACTGCAATGCCCTACAATGTAGTATTACAACACAGATTAACACATATGTAGCAGCAATCTGAAAAAATATATGAAAATTTTGTCTTACAGGTATTACCTTGTCCATGTAACGCACATGTATAGAAAACAATTGTGCGAACTGCGGTGTTTTCGGCACAACCTAAGAAAAAGTACCAAAGTGATATAACATTTATATAAGTAGAGTTGTTGTCTTGTAAACAAAAAGAGTACTTACACAATAATAACAGATAAAATACATAGAACATCATTACTTACAGAAAATGTCCCATCTATGAATATTTTCGAGCTGTTCTCTAATATTTGTATAAGTTTATTTGTTGTGAATATATAACAATATTTCTTGTCTTTGGATTGAACACAGCTTTTATATGTAAGCACTGTACCGTTATATTGTTCAAGCATATTTCTAAGCTCACATATATGTGAAGGTAGTTGTGGTCGCAATTTTAGTTTTTCTCGTGATAAAATGGGTTTCATAGCATTGTATGACAAATGTGCTGCTGCAGCTGGATTTTTTCGAGAGACAGAATCAAAGATTTCTTTATTTGTTGCGGTAGTTTCTCTACACAGTTTAATCATTTCTGTTTTTAGAGTAATAGTTTCACTAATATGCGGCGTTTTTGTGTGATTATGTAGTTTTTCTAAAATATATTTTTTGGTACGTTTTATCAAAAGTCCACTGCATAACTGAGTACATCTTTGTGTACAGCGATATGTATCATCATATCTTTTATCATGATGATATGTATATCCATCATAGACATACAATAAAGTACCTTGGCGTTTACCAGGTAGTACTTCCATTTTGATATGATTATAAGAAATTGTATACTTTGTGTTGTTAAGAATAATATGAAAAATGTTTAGTATCATAACTTTTCTTTATAACATTTATCTCTCTAGTTTTTCCCTTTTAAAAAAGGTATTCTACATTAATACACAAAATATCACTTATGCCTGTTTCCATTATTTTCAAGTATAGAAACTTACCTATATAACATGCAGATGCGGGTCACAGGTAGCAGGTTTTCTATTTCTTATATGTCTATGGTTTTCCCTACAAACCGAGAAATATTTTCTTATTTAAAAGAGTATTACAAGTCCACTACAAGAGTATAACAAGACTCACCTTATGCTGGAACCAAGTAAGCTCAGCTAGGAGATTTTACAGTTTTTGTTTCTACACAAACATTGAAATCTTAGTTAAATTTTATCGATTTCAGCATAACCTTAACCTTAACAGTTACAGTCTGCATAAATTAGAGAATCAAAGAGAATCAATCAATTACAGACTTTTATTTCCGATCTGAAAAGTAGAATGATAATCTAAGAATGACCAACAAGTTTAGTATTGTTTTTTTTGGCGGCTGAAGACTCTGACTGCTTGATTCTCTTATGCGTTATGAACAAATCTGTGCTGTCAATCTAAACAATAACTGTAAAAAATACTAATTATCTCTTATTTAATAAATATAAGTACACAAAACAATTATTATTAAAAAATAATGCGAATTAAAACTTTGTATACTATATAAACGC